ATAACTGTTTTATAGTCTTAAAATGACCATCAACATCAAATGTATTATTGCAGCAAAGCAAATGATTAACAAAGCTGGTTAAGATAAAACAAAAAACGTGACATTGAGGATCAAAATGTCAACAATCATCAAAAAGCAACATCAGCACCAAATGTGTTTGTCACTTATTCACATTTTCACTACTTTTTTTATCCAAAGTTGAAAGAGCCTCATATAGCTCATCTGTCGTCTGCTGGTTTGCCTTAATGTAGGTTAAAGGACACTGAGGGTGGATGTCCCTTTTTGTCTGTGCAGATTGCTGTGATGATTTTTCTTCCTGATAGGACTTAAAAAAAAACCTAAACTCAGGTTTAGTTTTTAATCCTCATGCTTTGCATTTCGAAAATATGCATTCCAGTAATACATATGACAAGCAATAGGGGTTGACCTCAGCTACCTACTCAAAAAAACAATGACAGAAATATGCACAGACACAACCTATTTACTGAACCTGTTTAGGTCATAAGGTTTAACATCGCATGTTGTTTTGTCTTGTTCTTCTGATTTATTCCCCTGATATTTTACATGTATTACCAAAAAATAGTATTTGACAAAAGGATTACAGTTTAAACTCAAGTAATATATTTAAGTAAAGGAACGCTTTATGAAACAGCATGCATGCATCCCACTTCTGATCATCGAAATCCCACCAGATCACAATCAACAAAATGTCAACTGGAAGCATTAGATATCAAAGACAAAATCATTCTGTTGTAGCGAAACTTACCGTTTTGCACCGTGCATTAAGCTAACACAAACAACATTTAGTGACTTCCTGTTGTTAGATTTTCTGTGACATGTGCAGATTGATTTGCAGGTGTAATGTAAAGAGGCCTGTTTTACACCAGACGGTCCTGTCTTGCACCTGTACGCCTCGCCTAACCTAATGTTAACAACCACTACAGTTTGATTCTTAATGAAAACAGTGACGGCTGCATGTCCAGTCTTGCGTCTTTTGAGCCAGAGAGGAGGAGGAGGAGGAGGAGGATGTAATCAGTGGAAACAGGTGCACAGGAGTGTTTATGTTGAATTAAAACATGGCACTCCCTGATGTCAGTCTTCTTATTGTGATTCCTCTGTTTTGGTCATAAAGGAAGGGTGTAATGGACTGTGTGGTGTGCATAGGAAGAGAGGTCAGAACCACTCTGCCTTGTGGCCACCAGCGTGTGTGTAAGCACTGCGCCTCCAGGGTTGTCCATCAGTTTAGCAACAGACCGCTCTGCCGACAGGAGATCAGAGCTCCCTCAGTGGGGATGGAGGGGGAGTGTGCCTCTGGAGGTGCTAAGCTCCAAGACACCAGCTAGGATTCACCAAATAAAAGCTACCGAGTGACTCCAACAAAATAAAACTCTATGAGAAGATCATTCCGTTGTAAAGAAACCTGTTGTTTTGCACCTTGCACTCAGGTAACAAAAACTACATTTACTGACTTCCTCTTGTTAGATTTTCTGTAACAAATGCAGATTGTCTTGCAGGTTAAATTTAAATGACTCTAACACAATATTCATAAAATGTCTGTGCTTATTAACGTATACAGTTATTTAACAATATATATTACAATAATAGTGCTTCACATATTAGATAAAAATAAGTATACAAACCTACATACACGCATATATATCCATACATAAATATAAACAATAAACAAAGTTAAAGGGCAAACACAGAGCTTTTATAAAACAGCTAACCTTCAGAAATCATTTTTTAACAATCCCTTAAAACAAATCACAGATTCAGCTCATCTAATGGGACAGCAAGAGCCTGTTCCAGAGTTTACGAGCTTCGACCGAAAAAGCACGGCTGACCTTGGATTTAAAATATGTATAGGGGACAGATAAAAGGTTTTGATCAGATGAGACTCAATAAGAGCAGTGAAAAACACTTGTATGCATGATTGTTTTGTCGACTGTTCTTCAAGGTCAAGCATGAACTGCCAAAACATGAGCCTGTTTTCAGATAAGAGCATGTTATTAATGAACTCTGGGAATGATCTGAGACTTAAAAAAATAAAAACAATACTAGCACATGGCAGAAATCCTGAATCTTTACAGACAGAAGCAAAGATCAATGTGCACACTAAAGATAGACCACAGATGAAACTACATCTGCAGCCACTAATCACTGCAGTATTAATATTGTTGCAAATGTTATGTATATATGTCTTCAGAAGGCTCTGCAAATGTGAAAGTACAAGCTAGTTTCGCTATTACTTGTTTACAATTAGAATGGTTTTATAATCTTTAAATGACCGTCAAAAATCAAAGTATTATTGCAGCAAAGCAAATGATTAACAAAGCTGGCTGAGATAGAATAAAAAACAACAAGACACTGAGGATTAACTGTGGTGTTGTAGTTGAAAATAAAAACCAACCTGAATCTTATCTTTGCAAACAGAAGCAAAGATCCACATGCAGACTACAAGTAGACCACAGATGAAACTAAATCACACTAATCATTGCTCAATTTCACCAGGGAGCCTTAACAAAGATTTAAAATTACTTACTTAGATTCCATCAGCAAAAGTACTGTCCCCTGACCTAACATGGAATACAGGTGGTTTTCTTATTGGTTGCAAATAGTATGTTGCCATGTCTTTTAGAGCGAGTTTTTCAAATCGTGAAAAGTACAGACAATCGACTAGTTTCGTTATTACTTCGGTTTACGAGTTATAACTGTTTATAGTCTTAACAATAACCATCAACATCAAAATGTTATTATTGCCAGCGCAAAGGCAACATGATTAACAAAGCTTTGGTTGAAGATAAAACAAAAAAACGTGACATTGCAGGAT